TTATTATTAAAATAATATGAACAAGTTAAAAACAATAGTATATTGTAGATAGTAGTGACTTGGAACCATCCTTAAGACATATTTTTAGGTGAAGAGTCAAGTTCAAAGGTAATATATTTATGTAGTGTGATTTCAATCCTCTTAATTTTTTTTCTATTTAAAGAGCCTTTATTTTTTTTTCTGCTTCGAGTAATTTATTTTAGGAAAATTGATACACCAAGAGATTTTGCAATCTTTTCCAAACACAATTCAAGGAAGAATTGCAATACATTTAAATAGAAATTAGAATAAACATGTGTTCCACTATAAAACACAAATTTCCTTAAAGAATTTTAGCAACCGAAACCAACATGGTTAATATTTTCCTATTTTACTTCATCCTTAATGTCCATAGTTCTTCATCTTTCCTTTTTTTTTGAAGACTTTTATAGACCAATCTTTTAGATTCTCTACACATAATTATATTCGAATGAAATTGTCGGGGTTGTGGATTGGTCTATAAAAGTCTTAAAGAGCCTTTAAAAATTTTTTTAAATAAGTTTTAATTTAAATTCGAGTTAGTTATATGCAACTAATGAATCGTTGAACACTACATCAAAAACTAATGATGTACTATTTGTTGGCTAACTGAACATAATAATAATAAAAAGACTTAAAATAAAAAAATAAATTCAAGTTAGTTAATGTTAGTGTAATATTAGTTTCGAGTGTACAATACAGTGATTCAATAGTTCCATACAACACCCGGTGCTCATCACAACAAATGCTTTTAATCTTTATATTTGCATGTGTAAAGATATCTTTCTCTATGTAACAGGTTTGTGGGTGAAATTCGGGAGGGATTTTCAGTTTGTACATTATAACTTCTGTTTAATTTTCATAACTAGACTGTATTCATGTGTTATCTATATCCTCAGAAAGTAAAAAAAAGGAAAGAAATGTGGAAGGTGAGAAAAATAGAATTAAAATATATTTTTTAAAGATTTTATTTATTTGACAGAGAGAGACACAG